TAAAGGCCTATACGTGTCATTGTCATTTAAATGAACAAGCATTTTTTCTACATAACTTGACCTATCCCTGTCTACCCCTGCTCCATCGTTATCGGTTTTCATAACGATTAGATTATTACGATACAGATATCTAGAAACCCTACTAAAAGGACAAGCTTTCTTTGGTGGAATTATATGGTCAAAATGAGGGATCACCTCCAGCTCAATACTATTCCTTACCTCTTCAGGCAATCTATCAGATAAGCTAATTAATTCAGCAAGTTTGTCCAGAGAATGATTTACCTCATTTGGAAGGGCAAAATTCAATCCTCTTTACAATAAATGTACCACATTTTCCTCCAGAGTTGTACTGGATAGATTGATTCTTTATCCTTCCCAAGTTTTCTACGACTTACCTAAGACGCAAAGTTTCTCGAGGACTGCGTCAACCTGAACGTTGTATCAAAGCTAAACGGCTGCATTACTACGGGATTCATCAGTCCTTTCCTCGTGATACCGACCTACAAATCTCTTCTTCATGTACTTTCATACGGAATGAAAACCCCCCCAACAACCCTATAAAGCTTAAGGAGACTGCTACCAAACAGAAGGCCACACCATCTTGGTCTTCATATCTGGGCTTCAAAATGTACTTGTGCAAATTTACGTCTCCTACTTAATTAAATTTTTCATTTTTGAGATTTATGATGTCCATTAGAATAGAAACTCTATTTCTCTATTGATTTGTTTTAGATTTATTGAGCAAGTTATGAACATTTTAATCTCTAGAACCATATTCTTTATGTTCTCTTTTGAAGAATACTGTAAGACCATGAAGAAGTTTTTTCGATTTTGTACGGTAACAAGAATTTTGCGATAAACAGGGGGGCGCAAATCAATCGGAAATTCAGCACTTATCTCCAATCTGGCAGATGCAACTTAGCTATCTCTAAATGAAACCCATAATAAGTTGCGATAAAGCCTCACTCTAAAATTCAATAAGCCATAGCTTTTAATCCTATCTACCACTGTCCCCCACAGTTGCATGAACTTTAACATAGCATTGCTTTAATAAATGCATGTAGCCTAATAGGATTTTTAATATTTCATTCTGAATAGTTATGGCAGCTAAATTGACAAAAGAAATGAAACTCATAGCGATGTTCGACATTTAACTAACCTGTGTTAAAGTTACCTTGCCCTGAAGAAGTCATGCGTGAAAAACTGTTGGCTTGCTTGAACTGATTAAAGTGGCCTGATTCTATTGAGCTTCTCACAAGCGATTGCTGCTCTGGGCTTAGACAATTACGGTGCAGATGGGTCTCTTGGCCAAGAGACAATAAACCATTTGACTTTGCACAAACAATCGATTTATTGGGCCCTGTAGAGGAGGAAAGTAGTGACTGAACATTGGTCAATTTTGAGTGGGCTGCTAGTCTGCTTAGCCATTGCTGATTGGTTAAACAAACATCACGTGGGGTGCCACTTCCGAATCCAATTACACGCCCGTGGGAGGTATATCCGGGGCCACGATGCTGAGACGTGAATGAGCGCGTACGCTCTGCCGAACCCCCCCCATTCGATGTGCAGATACCTTGAACTTGATGATTATGTGTGTCCGTAAAACCTTGTGGTCCAGTTGTATTGCTTGAGAGACCAAAGGAGGCGCTTGCAAGGCTGCCAGTGATGTTGAGTGAGGCGGGAGCGGCGGGAAAAAGCATAGCACTGGAAGTATTTGCGCAGGTGCCTACCAAAAGAGAGGCTGAAAATATGGTTTGCTTGGCCAGTTGACGTGAGATGCGCTCCTGATAGCAAAAAAACACATGGTGGTAATCGAAGATGGTAAATTAGGCAAAGTGGCGACTAAATAAAAATTCGGTGGTGATAACTAGCTTACCAAAAAACTCTCTGCTAATCGAAGTACTCACTAATATTCATAGAACATTTATTCTAATATAAATAAACTTGCTGATTGTCAGGACACAAAAGAAGTATACGGTGCCCAACAATATTTAAATAAAATATTACTTTTAGTTTATAATTTAAGGACATTAAGGAGGAGGGCTTGAGGCAATTCAAATGGATTGTTGAAAGGAATTTCATTTGATGTGAAAGTGCATGAAGGAGAGATTCATAGTTAGATCTGACCAGAAATGGATAGATGAATCCCGTTGTACTGCAGGCATTTGGCTTTTATAAGATGCTCAGGTTGACGCAGTCCACGAGACATCCTCCCTCGTTTCGAGTGAAAATGGGCTGAGCTATCGTTCATCACATGATGGACACCTCATCAGAAATGAGTCTCATTCCTGTAAAAGTCTCACGCTAACACCACGGCAAGAATAAAATCCGGCTCAATCTTACCTCTTATATAGATACAATTAAGCAAAAAAATTAAAAACCTAGATAGATAAAGAGTGGATTGGCTAATTGTCTTTCATACTGGTCCTACTACTTTTGCTCCAGTGTATGCGTGTATGCATGTGTGTATTAGCGTCTATACGCGATATCGGTCCTAAATCAGAGTTGTCAAAAGGCTAATATCAGGCTTTGATCATGAAGACCTAATGACCAAATAAAAAGTACTGACCTAAAATGCGTTAGTCCGTGAGCAATTATGGTTTAGATATGAGATATGGGCTTGTAAGCATGTAATCCAAGTTACGAAACCACTGGTCCTAACCTCTCAGTCCAGGGTAATTAACGTTTAACCCCCCAAGGAAAGGCATGACAGGGGCTGCGTAATCAAACGTATTGGACGAGTGTGAGTGAAGTTAGAACCACCACCGAGCAGAGAAATTGAGTGGCCTTCTTTCGGACAGCGGCTCAACACCTCTTTTCTTCAATCTAGCAATCAAGCATAAGTAGTTCCTACTCAACTTTCTACCATCGTTCCTCACATTCAACGTATCTTCTAAGTTATTAATTTAAATAGACTTTAGAATATTTTGTTTTTAACCACAATCGTACCATTATCAGCAAACCTACTAGTTTAAGACCATTCTATTTCATGTTCAGCTTCAACCATGTGTTCGTCCACTTCTGACCGTTGGACCCAGCTTCCGTTAGAAGCCTTTTTATGTTCTCACAATGTTTGTCGAATAGGTCGGCATGTCTCACCAATATAACATCGACCACATGAGCAAAAAATCTTGTAGCAGCCGGATCTCGACAATAGGTTATATTTCTATCTAAAAGTTGGCATAACAGAATAGAGTGTGAGGGTTTCTATGAGCACTGTTTTTATCCCGCACGTTCCTACTTTGAAAGAAGGCATGACGGCAAAATTAGGATATGGGAAAAGGTCTTAGCCTGTTTATCTTTGACTAAATGATCTCCGTTTGAAAATTTATTACTCAGAAGAGAGATATTATTCTTAATAAGGCCAAAAGGATAATTACTTCCCAGGGATACGTTTTTAAGCCATTTTCTATTCGCTAGCATCATACTTCTAATAATCATTGATTTCAGAATTCCCACTTTAGTATTGTAACTATGGCTGGAAAGAAAATAGAGTAAAGAGTCAGCACAGGTTTGCTTCCTATAAATATCTCTTCTTAACTTACCCTCTTCTCTAATGATGAGAGCATCCAAAACGGGTAAGAACTTTTTCTCTTCCATTTTGATTGTGTACCCAATGTTCCCTTCCCGCTAGTTAAGTGAAAGTAAAAAAGTATCTGAACTTTCCTTACCACGAGGCCAGATAATAAAATAGTCATCCATATATATAACCAACTGTTTGGGGTTAGTATTTCCTCTTCCAGGAAGTGTTCTTTTAGTCTTGGCATATAATTCTTCGCAAAGATGTGAGCCTAACAAGATCCCATCGCTAGTCTTTCTGTTCGTTAGTATAACTTACCATCGAATGTAAAATATGTGTTACTCATGGATAGGATAATAAGTCTAATAATGGAAGTTGCACTCGGTCGTATTCCTTGTGTTATCTCTGGATGATCCTCTAGAGTTTGTATCAGAGCTTGAATAGCTCCTTGAACAGGAATGTT